AGTGAACTGGTGAGCTCATTTGCTTCTATAGACTGCTATAAGCGAATTTCTATTCCATTACATGATGTCCTATGGATCAACTACCACATTAAATGATTTATTCAGCAATTATTATGTAGGCTGCCATAGGCAAATTTCTATTCTACAGCAAACTTCGCCTGGTTTTTTTACAGGTTTGCAGCTGCCTTGCTATCCATTTACAGTACGAATTTTGTAGCTATTTTTTATTGCAAAAAAGACCACGAGTTTACATCTCATGCTTGGGCATAATTAATAAGCCTGAAATCTATTTGTTATACCTGATTAGCTACTATGCAAAATCAGTAGGATGGTACCCTTGCTTATAGTCTCAGTTTGTGCCTTTCAAAGTAGCTATCTTCTCTACTTGCACAATTGCTTAATTTACATATTACATGAAATTTATTGTATATCCGGAACAATTGCTTAGTATACCTGAAACAAATGCTTCCACAACTTTCGCAAACAAATACTATTTTATGGATTTTATCTTGCTTAATAAAACTGATGGATTTTATCTTGCTTAATAAAACTGCTTCTTCAGGACAACGGTTGAGGAGACAGTAAGGGTGCTAAATGGAGGCATGGGATCATACACTCACACATAAGTTTTTACCTCTAATTTGTGTGCACTTTAATTAGTGCTCGAGTTGACATCCCCTTTGATGAAATTATGTTCCACCCTTTGTAAGAGCTGACACAGTGGAATGGTAGCTATTTTGATCCATGACTTTATGCTCGGCCCCCTCAAGATCCTGCCATGTACGCTTACACAAGATATCCAGGAGATGGAAATTACAAGCAACAGCCACCACAGCAGGTCCCTGCACAACAGCTAACCATGTTTCTAAAAGACCTACAACAACAGTTCAGTCGTGCAGCTGTGTTGCACTAAGATGGCTTGTTTCTCCCTTCGCAGTAAAAATAATGGAGACACAAGCAGAATTATTTGCAAAGCTGCCGCACTGTACTTGGGAGAACAACCTCAGTGCGTTATTGGCATAAGAAACTCTCATTACCTTTTGAGCTGCTATATGTGTGTAACCTTTGCCACAACTATGATTCTCTAAACTGCTTTGCAGTCAATAGACTGACCCATTCAAGAAAGTTGCTGCTGTTAATAGCCTAAATGGCTTTTCGGAGTTTTTTTTGCTGCAAGCTGAATTTGCTGCTTTTTTTTAGCATCGTGAACCTGTACTTTACATTGAACACTTGGATCACTGTTCCGAGCTGCTGGTTCAAGTGTTTGGAAATTGTAACCTGTTGCACAGTGTCTTTGAATGACAGTGTCTGCTGAGGTGCATCTTCTATCTGGAAGTTGATTTGCAATTTATATAGTACAATATAATTGCAACTGACTGTATCTTATAAACCTAAAGATATTCATTTGCGCTCGCGCGTGGGGGCGCGGCCTATGTATAATTAGAACTATGAACCTTGACTGTAATGTTCATGTGAATTATCTCGCAAATTGTTTCACTTCACACACAGAACCCACTCATGAAACCTCAATGGTCACCTATCTGGGCGCGCAGACTATACTGTTCGCATACAAAGAACGTAGCAACAAACTTTTACGTATTCCTTCCTCATGCAGCCCCTGTAACGCTAGCCTAAAAGCTTTGTTTGCCTGTTTGGAACGTGGGATTTTTTCCTGTGAAAATGAACTGATTCCTGTAAAATTTCTGCGTTCCAAACAGGCCCTAGGTGTTATAGCCTCAGAATAAATGTGCTTACACACGAAAATTGTTAGAAGGTGTACGTGTAGGGTAATTTAACAAATTTCTATGTTTTCTATATGGAATTTCCCTTTTTCATTTTAATGTGTTATTTCTACACCTTACCACCCTGAAGCATTTATTTTTAGAGTGGTCCACACAAACTTTATTTACTGAACCACCCAAACCTTAAATGGCCTTCAGAGGTATTATCCTGTATTTATCGACTTCATCACACAACAAAACAATTCTACTGTTTAGATCTCCATGCTATTTTCCAATCCAATTATGATATGTCTATATTTCTAGGTTGGGCTCCCTTGCTGATCTAGGAGCAACACTTTCTCAATCCTGGAGAGAACACCTTCCAAGTTCAGTTCATCCTTTGGGTGAGTTATCCTCTTCATTTGCCTTTCTTACATGTTATCCTGAGACTGTCATATGAACTTAGTTGCTGTTGTGTGGTATTCGTCATGTATAGGCACTGCTCATTGGTTTCCTGGATGGGTGGGATGACAGCCAGGGGCCTCAAGTCATCGCCCCAACCATCTGGTCAAAACTAATGCCGACCTCACACACCAGTTAATCTCATCTCTTCCAACCGAGTTTAGACAGGCAGCAGCTCATATACCACAGTCACATGAACTATGCGATCCACTGGACGAACTAACCCTTAGCATAGACTACTACCACAAAAACGTGCAAAAGCTGCATGGATACTACGAAACCAACAAGGTACGCTTCTAACATCCAGCTATGTGTCCCATCTACTACCGCTACCTCACGTACGCTTCTAACATCCAGCTATGTGTCCCATCTACTACCGCTACCTCACGTATTTAGAAACAATGGATGCCTATGCTTTCAGCAAAAATACATCTCAACCAGACTGCAGACAGAAACGCCGAGCCTAGCAGGCAACCGCTGGGATTGGATGAATGCAACAGAAGAATGATGTACATCAGCATCATCATGCATCGCCTATCACCAGACCTTCACCAGCACCACCACACATCGGCAGCGCTACTACCACCGAAGACGACTATTTGTGTACACCGGCTTAGAGATCAGCTACCGTGTATAGCTTTCCTACTATAAAATACTTATCCCTGTAATATATTTCAATAGACCTGTATAACCTCTGAATGTGCTACCGCGCGAGCGCGCGGAATCGCGCGCCAATCCACTAGTATATATATATAGTTACAGAGTATGTTAAAAACTTTGGAGCTCATGTCCCTTATTCTGGATTGATCTCCAAGCGACATCATAGGAGTCATTTTGTTGTCCTTGTCGGCTGGGCGCTCTAGCCAGCCTGATTTTCTAGTGTCGCTGCAGGTTGCAGCAGCGGACTGTTACACTAAGGGGGCCCTCAAAGTTGCTGCTACGAGGAAGAAGATTAAATTTGGAACAAAACATCATGTCTTGAGCATTAATCTACTGTCTTTCTCCTTCGATTAATTATGGCTTGTTCGGCTTGCTGAAACTTGGCTGAATTGGCTGAAAAACATTGTTCTAGCTGAATTGTTGTGAGAGAAAAACACTGTTTTGGCTGAAAAAACAAACTGAATAGTGCAGATTATAAGATAAGCCGGACGGGGCCTATGACAGTAAGCATCCAAAGGTTTGCATCCTTATATTGCTTCAAAAATCTTCACAAAGAAATTAATGGCTTGATATACCTAAGTACTTGTTTTCATAAGTGAATCATGTCTTGTTGCTAATATGTTGCATTTCAGCTTCATAGATAGATTAAGTTCTATTATACCATCTGCCCATCCCATAGCCACGTACTAATGAAAATTTCTTTGACACTTTACTGATCTTAATATAGAGGAGCCACCATGTGAATGCCCATCAAGATTCCTCTGTTAATCCTGTCAGATTTCAACCACCACAGGAGTTGATTGCAAAAGACCTTCACGGCAATCAGTGGAAATTTCACCATAACTTTTGGAGTAAGTACTTTTTTTTCAGTTGCTTTTGTTGGTTTGTAATATTATAATTTTTCCTCATAAATGCATAGCCTGCATTCGGACTTGTACCACACAATTCATGAAATAGCCTTATATACAAGTCTGACAATAGTAACTTAGAATTAACTTATCTGCACATCAACCAAAGCACCATCTTTGCTAGAGACCCTGCACTTTTTATCTGGTATGGCATTCCTTCAGTATTTCAGAGCTGCGACTCATTTTTTACTTTCTTTTAAAAATTGTATTTGTATATGTGTGTGGCCAAATATATGGATGCCCTAGGAATCCAGCTTCATATATGCAAAAAGAGGGTATGTCAGTTTTAACAATTATGTGTACCACTAATTTGCAAAGTATAAATTCTGCCGATTAGTTAGAACTAAGAATTCAATTTGATAGGGCATAATTTTTCATATACTAAATTATTTTATCAATTGGATTTTTGTATTGCTTTCTTATCTCTCTGTCTTGTGCTTTTTGGTCTTTATTTTTTTACACCTTTTTATGTGTTCTTTGCAGGTCAATGATTTCATGCTGATATGCAGGTCAATGATGGTTCGTGAAGAAATGCTGGTTTTGTGTGAGAGAAAAATATAAGAAATTTACGATCGTTTACGACAAGCCACAGCCAAACGAACAGGCTGATAAGATAGAGCAAACAATATGGAACATATTTTTTTTTCATAAAGGGACCTCCAAATAGGCTGCCGTCAAAGTTAACTAAAGATTTGGGTCTCAAATTTAACAAAGGGATAAACAATGAACTATGCTCTGGTCAAAACCAGAATATGATCAGTTTATACTAATGCTGGTTAACCTGGCTCACTCTCTCGAGAGACCCCCTCTTGAATGACATGCACATGCTCAAGCACCTCACACGCTTGAGAGACACCTCTCATTGCCAAACACCATCTCTCCCTAAATAATATCTGCATAATGTAATAGGATTACATTACTAAAATTACTTAAAAATAGGTATCTAATTAATCACTGTACGTATACAGTCCAGCATTTTTGGCCACGACAGGATGGCCAATACAAAGGACGCGCGGCAAAGCCGCGCCGAGACTCCGCGCGCGAAACCTTGAGACTCCGCGCGCAAAAGCCCCATTTCTCGCCGCGGGACGGCGGGAGACCCATCCCCCACCCCACGCGCGCGCCTGTAAACCCTAAACCCCGCCTTTTCTCGCCACCCGTGCGCATTTCGCCGAGCACATCGCCCGCACCCCGCACCACCACCGCCACCATCACAACCTCTGCACACCGGGCGGCGATCGGCTGGACGATGGAGGGCGACGACTTCACTCCGGAGGGCGGCAAGCTCCCCGAGTTCAAGCTAGGTCCGTGCGGTCGCGCGCGCCACACCGTCCTTGGTTTCTTTAGATCCGTCGGGTCACTCATTCCCCTTGTATTGTCTTATTTTTTCTTGTGGTTGGACAGATGCGAGGCAAGCGCAGGGTTTCATCTCCTTCTTCAAGAGGCTGCCGCAGGTGCGCTCCCTCGATTTCACCTTTCTGGGCCTCAGTTTTGGGCGACTATTTTGGAGAGCCTTTTTTGTTGGCTGATTTATTTCCCTTTCTTTTCCTTTTTGGTCTGGCAGGATCCCCGGGCCGTTCGTCTCTTCGACCGCAGGGTAAGTGATTCCAATACATGTAGATGTGAACCTTTTTTTTGTTTATTTTTATCATGGACAATTGGATGAACTAGATAAATGGGGGCGAAATGGCTCTGGTACAGTTGTTACTGTTAGAAAATATTGACACGTGTGCCTTTATTTTCACCTGATAAGTGAACATGTAGATTGCAGATGATTCATTAAATGATGATGATGTTACCTCAATTTGGTTGTCAGTCTATGTACCATATGAACTGTTCTCAGCCATAATTTAGGGATTTAATTCCTAATATTGGCTTCATGCTTATATGTTAACTTCAAAGTCCTCAATAACTTAAAGCTGGTAATAATGAGGTAGCAAACTAGGGAACTGTTTGGCATTTGGGAGCAGTGCTGTGTACTTTGGATTACATAATCTATGACCACATTTTTTTATCCAATAGGATCGTGCCCTGCTTGAAAGTGCATTTAAAGAAATGGTCTGACAATTGAGAAATTGTTTCCTTGGAAGGGGGCATAAATGTTTAGAAAAAAGAAATTTCATGAAATTCATGCAGATATAAGATGGCATTTCTTCCAGACTTATTTTAATATGGGGCACTCTTTTCTGCATTGAATATGCATGCCAAAACTATCGTGTACTACAGTAATCGCTACTGTTGAGGGATACTGCTTCCAGGCAGAGTTAAATCTAGCTGTTTTTTTCCTTTGGGAATTTAATTCCTATGTGTGTCAACCTTCCAGTGTAAAATGGCATGCTAACTAGTGCTCAAATGTGGTTCAGGATTATTACACCGCCCATGGCGAGAATGCTACGTTTATTGCAAGGACATACTACCACACAATGTCTGCCTTGCGTCAATTAGGTAGCAGCTCAGATGGAATCTCAAGTGTTAGTGTGAGCAAGGCTATGTTTGAGACCATTGCCCGCAACATTTTGTTGGAAAGGACTGACTGTACATTAGAGCTCTATGAGGGAAGTGGGTCAAATTGGAGGTTAACAAAGTCTGGAACACCTGGAAATATTGGTAGTTTTGAAGACATTCTGTTTGCAAACAATGACATGCAAGATTCACCAGTCATTGTTGCTTTGTTTCCAGTGTGCCGGGAAAGTCAGCTGTATGTAGGGCTTAGTTTTTTGGATATGACCAATAGGAAGCTTGGGTTAGCTGAGTTCCCCGAAGATAGCCGATTCACAAATGTTGAATCAGCTCTTGTCGCATTAGGTTGCAAGGAGTGTCTTCTCCCAGAAGATTGTGAAAAATCCATTGATCTGAATCCCCTTCGAGAGGCCATTAGTAATTGTAATGTTCTGTTGACTGAGAAAAAGAAGGCTGACTTCAAATCCAGGGATCTTGCACAAGATCTTGGTAGAATAATCAGGGGTTCTGTTGAGCCTGTACGTGATCTGCTATCTCAGTTTGACTATGCTCTTGGTCCCCTTGGAGCACTTTTATCTTATGCTGAGTTGCTAGCAGATGATACTAACTATGGAAATTACACAATTGAGAAGTACAATTTGAACTGCTACATGCGACTTGATTCTGCTGCAGTGCGAGCATTAAACATTGCAGAAAGGAAAACTGATGTAAACAAGAACTTCAGTTTGTTTGGTTTGATGAACAGAACCTGTACTGTTGGGATGGGAAAAAGATTGCTTAACAGATGGCTGAAACAACCTCTATTAGATGTTAATGAAATTAATAACCGATTAGACATGGTTCAGGCTTTGGTAGAAGACCCAGAGCTTCGTCAGGGACTCAGGCAACAACTTAAAAGGATATCAGATATTGATCGTCTAACACATGCTCTCCGAAAGAAATCAGCTACACTGCAGCCTGTTGTTAAGCTTTATCAGGTTACTGCTGCAACCTACTGTTATCTTATTTTAATGACTTTGCAAAGATAATTATTTGCCTAAAAATGTATTTGAATATACAGTAATATTGGTTACTAGCTGCTAGTGTAAGGCTAGTAACATTTAATGAAAGGAGTGCACTGAACCTTTGTAGCACTCCCTTGAATTCCAAATGTAGGTCCCTTTAAAATCCTAGTTGGTCATTTTTTTTATAACTTGGCCAATCAATATATGGGAAGCTATATGGATTGACAACACATAGTTGATGTTACTAGAATAATCATGGAAAATACTTTCATAATATGTAACAGTCAAAGTGTTATGCTGGAGACTGTTGTTGTCCTAGATCTACATTTTGAATCACAAGGAATGCTTATTTCTGTGTATTTGTGCATAACCTTCGAGGAAACAGAGTAGAATTAGGTTTCTTAAACAAGGGCAACACCTCCTAAGATGCATAACTTTTACCACAATTTTTTTAACCCATTTACTTATTGGTTTTGCAGTCCTGTAGCAGAATCTCATACATCAAGAGCATTCTTGAGCAATATAATGGCCAATTTTCCACATTGATAAGGTCAAAGTTTCTTGAACCATTAGAAGAATGGATGACAGAGGATCGATTTGGTCGGTTTTCTTCTCTTGTTGAGACAGCTATTGATCTTGATCAGCTGGAGAATGGAGAGTACAGAATATCTCCTCTATATTCTTCTGACTTGGGTGTACTAAAGGATGAGCTTTCTGTGGTTGAAAATCACATAAATAATCTGCACGTGGATACAGCTAGTGATCTAGATCTTTCTGTTGATAAGCAACTGAAGCTAGAAAAAGGACCTCTTGGACATGTGTTCAGAATGTCAAAGAAAGAGGAGCAGAAAGTCAGGAAGAAGCTCACTGGCAGCTACTTAATCATAGAAACTCGTAAAGATGGTGTAAAGTTCACAAGTTCTAAGCTGAAAAAGCTAAGTGATCAATACCAGGCACTGTTTGGTGAGTACACAAGTTGTCAGAAAAAGGTGGTTGATGATGTAGTGAGGGTTTCAGGCTCCTACTCAGAGGTACACTAAGATAATTATCTTAGCTTCATAGTTTATTTTTTCTCTATACAGATTGGGATAAATCTTCAATTCTTGGTGTAGGTATTTGAAATTTTTCTGCAGTTCTGTCGGAGTTGGATGTTTTACAAAGTTTTGCTGATTTAGCAACTAGTTGCCCAGTTCCTTATGTTAGGCCAGAAATCACAGCGTCGGTAAGAAACACTTCCTAAAACTCATTTAAAATGACAAATTTCGAACGTGGCTCTAAACTTGAGAACACATTGCAGGATGAAGGAGATATTGTTCTACTAGGTAGCAGACATCCTTGTCTAGAGGCACAAGATGGTGTTAACTTTATACCCAATGACTGCACTCTTGTAAGTTCCCTGTAATATGATATTTGCAATTGCAGCACTTAATTACTGAAGTTAGTGATGGTTTGATGGCCCTAAATAGGTGAGAGGGAAAAGTTGGTTTCAGATCATCACTGGGCCAAACATGGGAGGAAAATCCACATTTATAAGACAGGTTAGTTTTGCACTCTCATGGTAAATTTTTTTATGAACCACTCAAGGAATTTATTTATATGCATTTTATCCAAAGACATGGAGGTGGCAATTTCTTATGAAAAGAAAAGAAAGAAAAGCAGTTTTAAGCCTAACAACCTTCTGAAATGTCATGGAAAGATGATCGTTCTGGTACTATTTGTATAGGAAAGATGATCTTTCTGGTACTATATGTATTACCTCTCTTTATTAACATATAACGTCCTAGAATGTGTTCATTCGAACTTCTCTAGGGACCACTGATTTTGAGTAAAGCTATTTGTATTGATAATGCGGAAGTACTGTCAAATTTGTTGTGTAAATAATTTTCATAATATATAATTTTTTGTCATATCTGTATAAAAAGCTGTGGTCAAAGTTTCACATTGGTGGCCATGCCTATGTCCAAAACATAATACATTTACATACAGAGGGAGTATATGACCACTATTCCTCTTATAATATAACATTTGTGCCAACCAAAGTTTGCCCATTAGAAAGTATTTCTAAATACAAACCTAATGCAACCACTTCTGTAGCACAAACTTTTCATATGATTAGACCAATTGTTTGTCAAAGGCAACAAAGTTTGAGTTTTGAAATATGTGTGTTCCTTATATTTTGCTATAGAGGGAGTATGATCAATGATTCATGCATATGAGTGTGAATAATTAGCATTTATTTTCAGTTATAGAAAATTTCACTTATAGTTGTTTACTAAATTTAGTAGAGCTCTCCATCTCCACTTCCACTACAAAAATACATACTTAAAACATATGTGCACTTAAATGTGTAAATATGTAAATTTATTGCTACACTTGGATCCACATCTTATGTGCTGTTCCATTCTTATACCGATACATATTGAACTGCAAGTTGTCTGTGTGTGTGTGTTCGGGTCTATGTATGGCTCTTTTCTCCGGCAATTAATACGCAGCTCTCCTGCGTGTTCGAGAAAAAAAAATTTCACCACTACCACCCTATATGCATACAAGCATTACAATGCAATAGTATTATAGTAAAGAGTTTGTGTATTTTCAAAACAAAAAAAAGAGTTTGTGTACTCGATGCCTTCCGTGATATATTTTTTCTGTTTTCTAGAAAGCCATGTGGGGTGACTTATTGAGTAGTTGTATCCATACATATTTGATCCAAGAACTTCACACAAGCAGATGGATTGCCCAGAAATTAAATTCTTCACGATTGCTAAAGAAGGGTTTTGTTAGGACCCAAAATGTTGCTGGAACAAAGTCAGTTGTATGAGCATGTATATGTGACTCTTGATATACTCTTTGAAAAGTTGATGGTAAACGGGGTCTGTTATCCCAAGAATCCAGTAAAGAGTTTGAGTATTGTTTGTAACTCCTTGATCAATGTGTTTGCAAAAACTGAAAGCAAACCAGTTTGATTCAATTGGAGTGCATTTGGACATGTTAAACATACTGTGTGAAGTTCCTCCATGTTCTAGCTCCATCTTCTAATTCTTGGACGTTGGCTACTGGATTTAAAATATATTTTCAAACATATTATTTGAAACAACTAATAATACCTTTTGTTGCTTACATTCCTTCATTTATCAGCTTGTCTCAATTAATTTTCATATGGGAATCAGGTTGGTGTAAATGTCTTGATGGCGCAAGTTGGTTCCTTTGTACCTTGTGATCAAGCAAGTGTTAGTGTGAGGGATTGTATTTTTGCTCGTGTTGGTGCTGGTGATTGCCAAGTAAGTTGGCTTGATCATCAAAGTATTTTGTTCTTAAGTTTATATTGGAAATGCCCTTTTGTTCTTATTTAAACTTCTGTTGCAATAACAAATACTGTATAGTGTTCTCTTGCTTTAGCTACTCATACTTGTACAAATGTTGCAAATCAAAGATGCAAACGAGCAGTGTTCGTCTTCCTTTAATATAATGATGCACAGTCCTCATGTGTTGAGAGAGAAAAAAAAAGATGCAAATGATCAGGATAAAGGAACATGAACTAGATGAATGGCACATTTGCTATATTATTCAAGTCTATTTCCTTCTGAAGAATGAAAAATTGTTCATTTTTTTCTTGAACTGGCATGTGGGCTGCCCTTCATTATATTAAGGAGAACAAGGTACACAAGCTGGATAAATCCAGCAAAAACAAGACCCCCAAAAAAAAAACACTCAACTCATACAAACTCAGTTACATAGGGATCAGAACAACAGCTCACCCCTCTCCCTACAGCTCCTAGGAGGAGATTGAAGCCAGTAGCTCCTCATGTGTGTAATTTTTCGTTTTATTTTTTTTGAACGAAAATGGCAGGAGCTTTGCCTTTCAATTAGGCGAGGAAAGAGTTCAATACACACATTACATGTTGATCCCACAGCCCAAAGGATCCAATAACAAAACCCTTCTTTTTAAATTTAACGGATAATGATGGCAGTGTCTTTTCTCATAGTAAGATGAAACTTTCTGTTACTTTTAAGCAAGCATTAAATTTATATACTTCTGCAAAGAATGATGTCGTAAACTGTTTTGTTTACATTTATTTGGCAGCTTCATGGTGTATCAACTTTTATGCAAGAAATGCTTGAAACAGCATCCATCCTAAAAGGTGCCTCTGATAAGTCTCTTATAATTATTGATGAGCTGGGACGTGGAACTTCCACATATGATGGATTTGGTCAGTGTTGTATACCTTTTCTTGTTTTTTCTCTTACAAGTTTGTTAATCATCTTTCCTTTTGTTTCTTTTTAGCATTCATAGACTACCATCTGTATTACTTCTAGGCGATATTGAATTATTGACTTTTAAATAGTGTTGGTTTTAGAATTGAAACTGGAAATTTGCATACTTCTAAGCTCATTCTACTAGCATTGCATATATTACACTTTGTATCTGGTTAGATACATCTCTTGGACCAAAAAAATAAGTAATTCCCTGTACCCTTGCACTTGCTGATAAATGCTCCATTTACCGGAGGTAATTGGCTGGTTGCTGCTGATAATCAGACCCATCAGCCTGATCTGAGAAAATAAAATTCTGTATTCCTTTTAAATTGTTTTGAATTAAAACCTAGAACAAAGGAGCATTTACATCGTTGTTGTTTCTTTTTGGTTATGTAACAGTGCTACAATTAGTTAATCATCAATGAATGGTGCATTGCATGGGATGGAGCTTTTGTACAGATAAAAAGAAACAAATAGTTTGGGGGCAAAACTGTATTTTGTGTATTTGCTTGCTTCCCTCTATGTCTAGTCGTGCTATTGTTGATTTTGGATGCGGTTAACCACCTGCTGCATGCAACCATGCCGACAATTCTTAGTGTAATCATTCGTTGGTAACTACCTGCATGCATAGTATGAATCTTGCTACATTGACATTTATTGGCATCTCAAATATCCTATTGCCAGAATGCTAGAATGGTGTCTTATGGTGGCCTTCATACCGAAAGCCAAGTTCCACTTGTCTGTCATACCAAACCTGTGGACATTTTTTGGATTATTTGATCATGATCTACAAGCTTTATTCTAATTGGGTCTATACAAGAGAGTTGGACCAAGTGGGCTAACATTGTTAATCCCAGATTATGTTAACCAAACTAGCTATACACATGTACTGAACACCAACATCATTTGGGCCTCGTGTGGTGTGGCATGCAATCTCATGCTTCAATCAACCAAAAATAGTTTTAGTTTGTTGCATTTATCCATTTTTGCTGTCATTATAAGCATGCAAATCTACTTATTATACGCATCACTGGATGAAACTAGCAATTACCATTTGTAATTGAGTACCCTTTTTACAACCTTGGTTACCTGCTGCAATGCACTGACTTCCAGACAACTGGAACTTTTAATTCTCATTTGAAATTGAACCTCTAACTCTCATTTGAGATTGATATATTATTTGTTATCAGGTCTTGCATGGGCTATCTGTGAGCATCTTATGGAAGTGACTCGAGCGCCTACCTTGTTTGCCACCCATTTCCATGAATTAACTGCATTAGCACATAAAAATGATGATGAGCACCAACGCATTTCAAATATCGGAATTGCAAATTATCATGTGGGTGCTCACATAGACCCATCAAGTCGGAAGTTAACTATGCTTTACAAGGTATGCCACGATGTGAAATTCTTATTCACATTTACTGTTACAGAAACAAGTTGGCATTATTGGTTTGCTAAATGATTCCTCCAGATCTTGTATTACAATATTTCCCTGTTCATGTTGTAGGTTGAACCTGGTGCATGCGACCAAAGCTTTGGTATTCACGTTGCAGAATTTGCTAATTTTCCAGAAGCTGTTGTTGCCCTTGCAAAAAGCAAAGCAGCAGAGTTAGAAGACTTCTCTACTACACCTACCTTTTCTGATGATTCGAAAGACGAGGTATATGCAGCTAAAAATTTCGAGCTAAATGCTATGGGTTCTGATATGAATTAAAATGCATATGCTTCCTCCCATGTGAGCGATCTTACCATAAAGAAGATGAATATTGGATTCATAATTCAACAAAACTGACAGTAGTATATTTGGAGTTTTTATGGCCATATATGCAATTACGGTAAAATTACTTTTATCTGCTGCACAGTTCATGGGAGCTTCGGTGCAAAGGGTATCTTTCTTACCCATACTGTACTGAAACTCAAACCTCTTTCTAAGCTAGCGAGTGTTCTGTGCAGGTTGGATCAAAGCGCAAGAGGGTATTTAGCCCAGATGACGTCACCAGAGGAGCTGCTCGGGCTCGGCTTTACCTTGAGGATCTCGCTGCATTGCCTATGGATGAGATGGATAGGAGCAAGATCGTGGAGATGGTCACCAAAATGAGAGATGATTTGCAGAAAGATGCGGCTGACAATCCTTGGCTTCAGCAGTTCTTCTGAAGCTAATTAATCCCTGTGTGGATGGAGATTTCATTAAGGTTAAACCATAAGAGAACCTCGCTGATGCTAGGATCTCCTGATCCATTTTGTTAATACGCATCAGCGGATGTACTCTAGTCTTCAGGCTTAACAGAACAAGTAGTAGGCTTTGCCAAGTCACCATGCGCAGTGCAACAGAAAACCAACCATGTGCATATGTAACGCGGTAGTGTTGCTACTCCTGCATACCGATCGGCTGCAGTACTCTGACCTGCCCTGTCTGTGATTGCACGCCGTCGTTTGCAGCCGTGAAGTCTGCTGTGTTACTCTCGTCGAAGGTTGAAGTTTCTGCACGTCTATTGCTGTGCTGCTTGTCTAGCAAAATTCTTGCAGTGCAACTGTGCAAGTAGGGATGATAGTTTATAGACATTGTTGGGATTTGTTGAGGATGATCTCACAACGGCCTTTAATCAACTTTTCAACCCAGACATGAGACAGCCTTGATCTTAACACATCAAACATCATCTTTTCCCGAGAAGGCTGATGCGATTGGAGTTGACCCGTCAGCCTAATGCATAGTGTAGCGAAGATTTGCAAAATTTCTCAAAAAAAAAAAAAAAAAAAAAAAAAAAAGAGAAGATCTCCTGCAAGTTAACGAATATTTATAATCTGGCTCTTGCTAGATTGCTTTCCAAAAAAATGGTACATTTTCTCTACACCCAGAACTTTTTACGCATCGTATTGAACTCAAAACATCTATCGTTGTTTTATTGATGCATAATTGCAAATGCGGTGGTTTTCTTCTATAGATAAAACTAAAGAAAAGGAAAACAAGACAAATAAACAACGAACACATGTACTCCATACTTTTTTAAAAAAAAAAAGTGAACTCCCGCCTGGATATTTTATTACGGGTTTGCTAGCATCCGGATGGACGGGGCGTCTGGACGCCCGCGCTTGCAGTCTATTTTCGCACCGTTTTGCGGGCCCACGCAGGACCCGCGTTGCCCTGAACGTCACCAACATCGAGAAGAGGAGAGGGGACGGCCAATGCCCAGCCGGCGCCTGGAGGAGGAGGAGGAGACTCCGAGGTGAAGTAGCAGAAAGCGAGGAGGGAGATGCAACACCCGATCTATTTTTGAAACATCCAGATGTAACACTTACAACATACGTCCGAAGGCGGATGAAACACTTAAACATACGTCTAAAATACAAAAACACCTCAAAAACACTTCACGTGTGCAGCCATTGCAAACATTGCAAACATCCAGATAAAACACTTGCAACATACATATGAAAACACCTAAAATACTTTGCATATATATGCAACATCCAAATGAAACACTAGCAACATACGTCTGAAAACAGATGAAACATTTGGAACATACATGTATAGTCATTGCCACATGTGCAACATCTCGATTTACTTTTTGCAACATCGGTATAAAACACTTGTAACATATCTCTAAAACATATGAAACACTTGAAACATACGTTTGCAACATGCGCTTTCAACATAATGTCACCTTGTTGCTGGGACGAATGGAAGCTAGTAGTCGGCTTGAGAGCTCAATGCTTGTTGCGGAGATCAACGTCGGCAGCGGTGTGGAAGTGCAGCGGTGAGTGCAAAGTGTTCATGCGAGCGAAATTCTTATGTTGGAGAAGGCCACGGCGAGCAGGCGGGTGTGGTGCTTGCGGCGCGGCGCCCCTGTGCTAGAGAAAGGCCGCAGAGGAAGGGGATTGGGCGCCGCTGGTGGGAGCTGAGCGTCGGAAGCGAGGCGCGCAACGAGCGGCGCGGATTGGAAAGCGCGGCGTCTGGACGATCGGACGCCCTGAGGAAGCATTACCGATTTTATTAACTTGACAAAAGGAGTTTTCATTATAGAACACCATACTTAATTACCAAGTCTCTGGTTAAAATGGAAGTAGCATATGTCTAAACCTACACATAAAACAAGATCACAGTTCAGTCTCTGCACTCCACATCCACACGACCACACCATTCAGGTGGTGTTTACATTCATGGCATAAATGTCATCGGATGTTACACATAGGATGTCATTCTTTAAAAAAAAAAATTCAAAGAAATCATGAGATTAATTTATTAAGCCTAATTAATCCGGCATTAGCATATGTGTTACTGTAGCACTTTATTGTCAAATCATAATCTAATTAGGTTTAAAAGATTCGTCTCGCAAAGTAGTCGTAATTTATGTAATTAATTATTTTTTAGTTTATATTTAATACTCTATGTATGTGTTTAAATATTTGATGTGCCATGGTATAAAGTTTTGGTGGAAGAACTAAGGCTGTGTTTAGTTCGCGAAATAAAAATTTTTGGATGTCACATCGGATGTTTCGGGGATGTCGGAAGGGGTTTTCGGATACTAATAAAAAATAAATTACGAATCCATCGTTCGGAATCACCAGAGGCAATTTATTGTTTTAATTAATCCATTATTAGCGCATGTTAGTTACTGTAACACTTATGGCTAATTATGGACTAATTAGTCTTAAAATATTCATCTCGTGATTTCCAACTAAACTGTGCAATTAATTTTTTTATCTATATTTAATACTCCATACATGTGTCGTAATATTCGATATGATAGTTTACGATAAAAATTTTTGGGACTAAACCAGACAAACTACGCTCAGCATTCACACAACTCCTGCCCTGGTACTGAAAGAAGTCCCGAATGACGAGACTGATCGATGCTCGCAGTCGCAGGCAGGCACCAATCCAGATCAGCGGAGGACCCCACCTCCAAACTGCCGAGAGAAAAATCATCGTGAAAAATCAACAGCAGCGCCCGCGGCCGCAGGGGCCCGCAGCCATGGACCACCAGAGGGTAGCACTCCCGGCGCCGGCGCCGCTGGACCCACAGTCCCCACCGATCTCGGCGGCGTCACACCCGCTCTTCCTGCCCTCCCCGAACCTGCACCTGTTCCTCAAGCCCAAGACGCTGACCCTCTCCCTCTCGTCCTCCTCCCTCACCTCCATGGCCTCCTCCTCGCCGCACGCCCCCGCCACCGATGCCTGGGAGGTCGTCATCCCCACAAACCAACCAGTCACCCACGTGGACGGCGGGCTTGATGACTGCGCCATCTTCCCGCCGCGGCTCCACGAGGGGCTGGGCCTGGACGGCGAGCCGGAGAAGGTGCTGCCGCTGCCAGCGGCGGCGAAGGAGGAGGGTGAGGACGATGAGGAGGACGAAGAGTGTCTGTGGGGGTGGGGGTGGAGATGGGAGAGGTGCCGCTTGGCGGCGAGGCGCGCTTGGGCGGCCGGGGTCGGGACCGCCCAGGAGCGGGTTCTCGTGCACGGCGTGTGTGGGTGCCCGGCGGTGAGGCCCGCTGTGTGGTCGGCTGTGGTGGCGGCCGCTGTGGTGGGGGCGCTTCTGTACGCCCGTCGGCGGGACAGGAGGGAACGGGACCTGCTCGTCCTTCTCTCCAAGGAGAAAGATAAGGTTTGGATCTGTATGTAGCCTCTTAATTGTGATGCCAAGCGATGCCAATGTGAATCTGTAGTTAATTAGCTAGTTTCTGTCATGGATGATCCCCTGGACGAACAGTATGGTGAGATGGAAACTAGTTGTTATTGTGGTTCCAAACAAATGTGATTAGTTTCGTTTAGGCTATAGAACAAACAAGATATTTATCTGAAGTTCAATATCGATGTGAAATTCAGAACCTGTTAGAGTGATCTTGCACCATTTGATTTGCGGTGAAGCCGGATTGATCATATAGAAGGTGTTTGGTTGGTAAATGGCATCATCTGCATTGAACTGTGGCCAGTATGCTTAGTGACATGCGCAGTCACTGCTTGTATAAATGTTTGCTAGTGTTGGATCAAATTCAAACTAAGGGAGAATGTTTATGAATTTTTGAAACAAGAGTAGAGCAATGTCTTACCTTACCAATGCTGCTAGTATATCAGTTGGCATGTGTTCAGCGTGGCGATTGAATGCCGATAATTTAGTTTGATACCTGGTCTGTTTGACCCCATGTATGATCAATCGAACAGATCGACACTTCCAATCAGTCCTCTTCTTGATGTTGGGTTTTATTCCAATATTGACATTCTCATTAAGATTGGGTTCAGGGAGGCAAATGCCAAACAGTAGAAATATTGCACTACTAGTGTCCTCTGTCTTCCAATATCTCACTAGCTTCAAATAATTCCACTTGAGTTTGTCTTATTTGTTTGATGGTTTTCCCTTTTTCCAACTCTAGCTCCAGCAACCCTTAATCGAACTCTAATCGAACTCCTCTCCTTCAAATTCATTTGCAATTAAATCACATCCTATTTCACAAAATGTTTCAAGATGGCCACTGTTCTCACATTCCAGAACATATATTGTTGACTGATTAGCAGACTTAAGTTTCTACTGTATCATATTTAGTTTTGGTGGATTCTTGCCGATGTTTTTTTTTAACTTTCAAACTGTTGTGCTGGATCCTAAGGGTTAAGGTGACTGTGCCAAATTATTTGGTATTTCCCAGACTAATAATTTTTATCTGTTACTGGTTTATCACCGAGCAATGTCCAGATTAAGGAAGCATATAAGTGCATTAGACCAACATGAATGTTCATGTAATGATTGATATTCCGGTACTCATTGGATTCTTGCTCTTCCTTGTGCAGAGGATAGCACAACTGCTGCATCAAATTGCTTTAATGAGTGACATCAGAAGCGGCAATGAAGCAGTGAAGATCATCAGGAACTCCTAATCATCTTCTCTGTTGAAAGGTTCAGTTGCTATATATGTTGTAGCAAACTGATTGGGTAGTTAGAGAATCAGACTAGTCGGCGTGCAGGATCAATACTTGTAGCTAAATTGTAGTTTAGCTGAATGATCTTCACGGGTCTGATGTTTACGTATAACTAGATGCTGAAACCTGCAAGGTTGCAACCCAGTCTCAAGCAATCAATAATCACCACCTGATCTCTGTTTCTTCTTAAAATATGTGTATAGCTGAATGATTTGGTAAGTCGTAGATATGTAGAAACTGTTGTTGATATGGATAACCCCGGACAATGTTCTGTATATGTAACTTCCATTTATTGCATTTTGTGATTTTGATCATCCACTGAATTCTGATATTTATACGACCATGAAGTTGGCTTTCTGTTTGCACCAAAGCCCCAGTTATAGTTTTTTTTTTTAATTACAGTTATAGTTGATATTAGGGTCCCTCATTAGACATGAGAACTCAGGTTTCTGAAACATTTTAGCTGAAGTTCAGGAAGCCATACAAAATCCAGGGTTTACCTGTCTGCTTACAACACTTCAAATTATATGGATGGAACTAGAGATCGTTTCTAGTGGCTGGCATGGAACAACTACAGTAAGATTTTAACTGGGTTTGGTGATTTGTTATGCTTGGATCTCTCCTGGGTTTATGAATGTAAGCTGCACAATGCTCCTGTAAGTTACTGCCCTTTCCGATAGGAGGTGACACTGGCAATACTCAATTTGCTTCAAGCCTCTCAACTGCGTAATGATGATGGGAATGGTGATAAGCTTTTGCTCTATGATTCTTCGTTCTAAGGGCAACTGACCAAGTGCTCTGTGATTCTTTGCCGGCAATGTCGTCTACTCATCTTTACACCGTCATGTTCTAGGTGAGGTGAAGAACTGCCGATTGCCGAACCTGTACAGACAAGAATACCAGACCGAGCTACGGTCGCCAACTCAGTCATGGGCTCGTGGCATGGCAAACCGTGCTGGAACCAAACCCGGAACAGGCGCTGTAAAGGTAATGCTCAGGAGCGGGTCCGTCCGTCCGGACGCCGCTTTTCGGGCGCGAGGCCTGCTTCCTCTCTACGTCTCCCAATCTCTCTCTCAAAAATTATTTTCCACCCCTGTGCTCGCCCATCGTGTGCTGCTACTGTGCGCTCGCTACTGCCAGCTTCCCCGCCGCGCAGCCCATCCCGCGCCACGGCCCCTTCGTCTCTGCGCTGCGCTCCATCCCCCGTCGCGCCCGCTATAGCTCGCTGCGCGCCATGCGCCCGTGCCTCATCCCCCGTGCACGCCTAGGTGTTGCTGGGGTGCTGCCGATGTTGCCGTTCCCCACCAGAAGGTCATGTTCGCTGTCGACGCCGTGGCCGCCGCGACACGCGACCTCAGAAAGGAGATGTTGCGATGAAAGCACATGTTGCAAACATATGTTCCAAGTATTTTATAGGTACGTTGCAATTGTTTCATATGGATGTTACATAAGTAGATTGGGGATGTTTCATATGTTGTAATTGTTTTAGAGGCATGCTGCAAGTGTTCTAGATGTTTGTTCAAAATGTTTCATCTGTTCCAGACGTATGTTGTAAGTGTTCTGATCTGGATGTTGCATATATATGTTTCACACATATGTTGCAACAATATGTTCTAAATGTTTCAGCTGTTTCAGTCTTATGTTGCGGTAAGTGTTTTTATATTGCAAGTTACAAATATTTTATCTATATGTTGTATATGTTTCACACATATGTTGCAAGTGTATGTTTCGGATGTTTTATCTGTTTCATACGTATGATGCATTCATGAATTTCATATTGCACGTGTTTCATGTTATTCGGAGAGTCATGAGATGTGATGGTGGCACGGCACAAGCGCGGGGAATGGGGCCGGCGGACGGGGCACGCGGTGCACCGGTGTCCTGCCGACGGGGCGCGCTAGGGGCTGGCGGTCGGGGCGCGACGGGGGCGGGTGCGGGTGCATGGCAGGGCGAACTAATTGAGTCAGACAGGACGGGCTGCGTGTGCGAGGCGAGTCGCCGGACACGCGGACACAACGATGGGGTAGGGTGCGCTTGTGGGGCGGGAAAAATCAACGGATGGGGGCAGGCTGCGCGGGCGTCCAGACGCGCGGGCGCTAGCATTGGGTTGGCACGATGAGCGTTTTTTTTTTTTTTTTTTTTTTTTTTTTTTTAGTGCAGCTGCATAATACCCGGCAACATGCTGTGAACTACTAGGGCACATCAGGTATCTGTGCAGTAAGCCACAGGTGCAAATGAAAATGAAATGACGCGAATGCAAAGTTAACACTCGACAGGACATACGTACACAGATTCACAGGTCATGTTTAGCAACAATATAGGAATAGCAGTGTAACACAACTGTCTCTCACAAGGTGGCTGGTTTCCAAACCAGTTCACAGCTCAGTCATCGTCATTCAGAGAAGAGGCACCGTGTTATCACCATCGATACATCTACCTACTTATTAACAACCGAGATATGCCTTCTTGCAAAGAAAGACCAATGTAGTTACGCTTTGTTGAGACAGACTACTGGTAGCAGCATAGGAAGATCCACATACCAGCAGCAACGACTTCCTTTTAGAATTTAGTCTCTCTTTAAACCGGGTAGAAACGATGAACAGAAACGAATAAAGCGCATATGTCAATTGGCCTACTTCTGTACAGTACAGGCGATTTCGCATGCCCTGGGGGTGATCGTAATCCAGCAGCCCGCCGAATCACACCGGGACCCGTCTTCCTCTGAACCGAGTGATCAGCTGCAAAATTCCGACAGGCAGGAATCAGCGCTGAGAACAAAAGCACGGGGGAACAAAGAATAGCTGACGAATTTATGAGTTCATATGATGACCATACCGAAGTCACAAGAGGGTGGTGGAATATCCAACCGAAGGAGGGGCTCTTTTGCAGGTAAACAGCAGCTGTTGGCCAGAAGCCACTGTGAGGAATTTCAGACACAGTCAGATACAGTGCCCAGATGATTCTATTTCACGATGCTAACAGCTGCCAGGTAGGAGTAGATCATACAAGAACAACAGGAAAGAAACTACCAACCTGAAGAGCGTGATGAAGCCATACGACTCCGCCATCATGCCTAAGGCAGGCCATCCGATGAGGACCAGGAAAAAGCCAAACCCGAAAGAGAGAGAACCCTGCACAGTTTATGAGGCTCATTTGTTAGCTAGAAATACAAATGGAACTGAAACAGCTTGGGTTTTGCAGGGATAGTATCAGGACCTTGTGATTCTTAGGCTTGGTGAAGAATTGCACAGTTGGCTTCAGCCCAATGGTCAGTAAGACGCCTGAAACGAAGAGAATCTGACAACATGACAAACAGCAGTGCTTATCAGTAAACATGAGGCTAGACTGAAGTCAGAATCAATCAAGAGGATGAATCATTACATTCCCCATTGCCAGGAATCCCTTGTCAAACAGCATAATGATCCCAAGCAATGAGAAGAGAACTCCAAATCCAGTCAAGCCCAGCCCAATCTCTGTTGGCCAAAAACAGGACAGACGGTTTAGCAAAAGTTGGGAGAAACTGATGCGTTGTACATTGCAAGTTTGCAACATAAGCACAGCAGAAGGAGCTGAAGTATCACAAACGTCAATAAGAAAGCCAGTTTACTCAATATATTGCATTATGTCAGTAACCATGTTTCTCTATTAATGGATGGTACCTCCTGATCAAGTGATCAGAAACAGAAACCATGTGCCATGTTGCTGAACTACATCTGACAGTTGCTCATCAATGGATGACCAAATATCAACATGCATGACTGAAATTCTTAATCTAAATGCACGTCGGATTCGTAGAGGCAAAACTCGTTTTCTGTACCAACCAGACTGTATGAAATGTGCCATGAGAGGCCTGTTAATTCCCAGAGCATAGTTTTCCTCGTTTAACAGTGGCGAAACATAGTGTTGCTACTACATCTAACAATCTCTCATCAGTGGTTGACCAACAAACATGATTATATAGCAACAGTTTAGCAAATGTTTTTTAATCTGTCAGATAACAGAGCATAATAAGTAATCTAGATAACTGCATAAGTTGTCACACAGTCAAACAAGGAAGCCAATGTACTGAGCATACTGTCGTTTCAACAAAAAAAAAAAAATAACTGAGCATACTGTGTGTTGCTGAATTACATCTGGAGACAATTGTTTATTAGTATATGAGCAAACATCAATTTTTTTGGGCAAATTCTTCCTATGATTATATGCCATAATTCGTAGAGGTAAACTCAATTTTCTGAACTCTAACTGGACTGTAGGCAGTGTGCAGACTGCAGAGACCAGGGAGGCAATGTTAATATTCAGAACATAGCTTTCCTCATTTAATAGTGCCTTTCTGCTAGCACATTGTATTGAATGCATATGCTAAACACTACACGAACACACGCAGATGAACTGAAATGCAGAACATCAGTCAATTTTGGTGAGAATTCTTCACTTTGAAGGAAGACAGGTCAGGTTACATTAAACCAAGACTAATTGGACCTCAAATCTGTGGTACTAGCAAGTAGATGATCTGGAAGCGAGGCAACCATCCCAATCTCCACCAAATGACTCATGCATAAAAACAGTGCGAAACGGAGAGGCCGCAAACACGGCCGGTCCTTCACCCGCACGAACAACAGACCGAGCGAGAAAGCAAAGCAAGCACGACCAAATCTCCTGCCTCCGAAACAGCTTGCGAGAAAGCGAAAAGTACAAGCAAAAGCGACCTGAATCATCTCACAAACACGCACGCAGCACCAGACGGCCTCACAAACCGCTAGCGAAAGGGAGAGGGGTGGGCGAGGAGTCGCTTACTCTTGCGGTCGTTCATCTCGAAGGAAACCATCGCGCCGAGTCGCCGACGACCACCCGCAGCGAACCCGCCTAGTACCGGCTACCGCAACCGCAAGCGACCAGCCACCACCTGCAACAGCAGAGTAAACGGAAACAGATGGAGAGTGAGGCGAAACCATGTCGGCGTGGCCATAAACGAAGAGCGCGCCATCGAGGGTGTGATGTTTCGATCGCCAGCGATCGGAGCGCGGACGCGCGCGCGCGCACCTCTCTCCGAGAACCGCGGATCCGAACGCGCACGAGGGCGAGGACAGGCTGGGCGGTGGCGAGGAGCAGGGGCATGGGACACGAGAAGCGCGGCTGCGCGGATGAAGTTGAACTGCTGGCCCGTGAGACGAGAATGAAATCCCCACGGCCCACGCTGGCGGAAGGGGTTTTATTGAGATGCGTGCGTGCGTCGGTTTGGTCGGCTCGGACGCCGAAGTTCTCTCGAGAGCGAAAATCCAACGTTTTGTGCGGTGCGTACGTGGCGCACACGATGACCCACGCGCTCTGATGGAATCCTCCGGGATGGCTGATCTGCCTGCCTGGTTGGCTACCTGCCTTGGCACCGAAGAAAGCGCGGGACAAACAAGGCGAAGAGGACCCATTTCTTAGGGCCGGGGTGATGAGAGCACCTCGCCAGTAGTCTTTGCACACGTGGATGAGCTCTTCCGCTTCGGATTCCTTTATGTTTAGGGAATGGGTATATATTTTTACCATTGTTTGATGATCAAACGATCCACGACATTGCGCAGTCCGCTAGCACCCAGTGACGAAGCTTGAGGATAAATATAGTGGGACCAACAAGAAAATACGCATGGTTTAGGGGTGGCCATTATAAAGCTTTATTAGCAAAAAATATAAAAGTATTGTAGCAACCTCTATATAAAATTGTAAAAATGAGGGGAGGGGGGCAATGGCCCACTATGAGGCCCGACAGTGCTAGCGCCCTCCGATCACGCCGATGTCTTCAATTCTAGCGGCTCAACCTTCCCGGCTGCCAGAGCCGCCACCCTCCACCATTGCTCGAGGCTAAACCATCTGCATCTATCACCTCAGCCACCTCCATCATTGAACATTCTAACCATTGTCTTCCACTAAAGGTGAGACTTGAACCATGTCATGCTAGCATGCCCAGTTGTCTCACGCTTCATATCGCTTCGGACTATAATCTCTAGGTATGTTGGGCCGTACCGGTTACTACATGATAAATCTTTGATTCAACATAAGCATAGCCCATGGCATATCAACAAGGTTTCATGTCGTTTCAACCCAAGCATGACCTATTCAAGCCAAGAGATGGAGAAAACTCAAGAAAAAAACGGTGAACCCGATAGTTCGTGTTCGGATACCAATTACTAATATCCGAAAAGAATATGGTTGGCGCTAGTTTTAAAGATCTTCTATAGGAATGCATGTTCCTTTTTCCCTTTTTGTACTTCCATAACATAATCCGATAGCTCAACGTGAATATGACATAACACCAGGTATGCAGGGGACAACAGAAGGAAAGACCCTCGCTGCTGGACATCAATGTTCATACGCCATAGCAAGCTGAAAATCGCATGGCAGATGGTAATGCACATTTCTTCATAAGCAATAACGGCTTTATTGGCTATCAAAATATCAGGAAAAGGATAAGCCTAAACAAAGATTTGTTATAACTCCAACTTATTGACTCAAACCTCTACACTTTCGCTACATATCAATCAGGTCTGCACAGTTGGTACCCATTTTTTTCACAATAACCGCGTAGCTGCATGGAAATATTTTTCAAAAAACATAAAAGAATATATCCTTGGTCATTTTGTGCTATGAGTAAGATGACATGGATTTTGCTGGTGCAAATCGATAATTCCGAATGAGCATGAGGTTTTTCTACAGGTGGCAACAAACGATGTTCAGAAGATAAAATAAAGAGGTGGTATCGACAACCTGCAGTTTTCATCTAGTGACGCTTGACCAACCAGGACTGCCTTTTAACTTCAAAACGTCAATTATACAGATGTAAATATTCAATCTGAAATCTGAATTGTGGAGAATCGGCAAACTGCAGTTTTCATCTAGTGACGCATGACCAACCAGGACTGCCTTTTAACTTGAAAACTTCAATTATACAGATGTGAATATGCACTCTGAAATCTGAATTGTGGAGAATCGAAGTTAAAGCCTGCACATAATTAAAGGTGGCTGTCACACCTATATAATTGAATATGGTATGCTTTGCTTAGACTATCAACCATTGTCCTTGCAGTTCGGTATTCTTCATTGAAAAATGCCAGCTGCTGAGTGTTGTCTATGGCCTAGATCAAATAGTACAGATCTAACGCCATCAGCAAGCATGTCCAATTTACTACAAATGATTTAACATATTTCAAAATTCCTCTAGAACTGCACGGATGCAGAATCGAGAATCAATGCACATATATAGTTCAACATACATGGGTTATTCATTGATCAACGATCCCCTCCCAAGCCCAAGAAGCAACACAGCTCAATATACTCCCTAGATCATGATGGGGTAAGCCCTACCGATGAAAGAACTCTTAGTATTAACCACTTCGCAACCAGAACAAATTAGCTCGTGAAAACATACACGAGCAACCTTCACATATGCAATGCGAAGGATGCACGGTTGATATATAACTTAATATTATAATCGTGTCCATGAAACAAACATCATCAGTCGCTCGTCACAAGCAATCTCTAATAGATAGACAATAGATAGATATACTAGTAAACATAGGCAGGGGGAAACGATGAATAACATTCCGACGAAATGCCAAAATAACAGCAATTGTCGGTGGATCAAAGCGCGGTCCGACGCCTTACTCCTCTTTTACGGCAGCCTCCTCGGTGGCTGGAGCAGTCGCCGACGAGTCCTCCTCGGCCTCCTCCTTCGCGCTCCCCTCGGCGGGCGCCGCCGCCGCGGCGGCGGCGGATCGGGACTTGGCGAGCTCGAGGAGGCGGCGGCTGACCTCCTTGGAGTAGGCCTGGAGCACCTCTATCCCCTCCTCGACGGAGGCCGGGGACTCGGCGGCGGCGGATTTGGAGGCGGCGGCGAAGGCCTCGGCCTCGACGGCCGCGGCGGCGCGCTCGGCCTCGGGCTCCGGGACGGCGCCGTAGCGCTGGGAGAGGACGCTGGGCGCCGCGAGCGTCTGCACGAGGCGGCGCACCACGGCGTCGCGCGTGCGCTGCGACGGCGGCCAGATGCTGAGCGACGGGAGCAGCGCCTCCGCGGCCTTGGCGCCCGCGGTAGCCGCCGGCGGGGCGGCGTCGGCGGATCCCTCGGGGGGCGCGGGCTGGCTGCCCTCGGCGGCGGGGTTTGGGGCGTCCTCGGCCATGGCTGCGGGGAAGAGTTTGAGAGACCTAGAGAGAGAAAAGGGGAGAGATCTGTGGCGTGGAGCCCGGCGGGGGTGAGCGGTGTGGTGTGTGTGTGTGTGCGTGGCCGTGTGGGGCTGCAGCGAGACTTGCAGGCGGGGTTTTGTTTGGTTCGGCTCACAGCCTCTAGAGAAGATGCTCGGGTGGGCAACAGCACGTGGGTCCGTACGAGCGGCTGGTGGGTTTCTACTGTCGTGGGCTCACTATTGGCTGGAAGCCCGTCCGATTCTGGCCCTCCTTGTGTAACCGGGCTGGGTTGTCATCTTGAGTAATGGGGAAGCCTAGTTGTGTATTGGGCTGGGTTTGTATTTTTCGTTTTTTCGGCCCACATTTTCTACTTTTTTATCCCTTTATATTACGTTTCTCTCGGGTCCTTTGCCCGAGATGTTCTATGCACACTTCCTAGCAGTTCAGAACTATGCTGTGCAACGTGCAGACACATGAGTTTTTCATACTCAAACACAACTGCAGCGTAGCGCAACACTTCCATCGAAGTTCGAAGCAACACAAGTTATCCTCACCCTGAAGGGGCATCAGATTCAGCAAAGCAACGTGACAAGACTCAACGATCCAGATTCGCGTGCCCAAAAACAAGTCACAGCTTTGTTAGCGAACGCACGCACGCGGGTGCAAAGCTGACGAGCCGCGGAGACAAAGGAGACAGCAGCCGAGGCACAGCCGCGGGCACGCACCTGAGTGCAGAGTGCAGACTACTAGAGGCGGTGCACGCAGCCACGCTCTGCCGCCGCTACCGGCCGCGCTCTCTTCGCCTCGGCGTTCGGCTAGACCGCTAGAGCCAAGAGATGCCGTGGAAAAGAAGCGCAGCGCGCATAGGCTTTGGAGCCTCGAGGTCGAGGCCTTTCTCTCGTGTCGTGGAAAGCCGTGTCCCCTGTTTCCCGGGCCATTTCACCTTCTCCCATTTTTCTCATCTGCCGCTAACCTCCGATTCCACGCTAACTAACCTCCACACCTAAAAGCATCTCGGAAAGGAGAAAAAGGAAACCTGGGCCTTGTTTAGATCACCTCCAAATTTTAAGTTTTTTTACTCTCTCTTCATCACATCAATTTTTGGACGTATGCATGAAGCATTAAATATAGGTAAAAAAAAAATAACTAATTGTACAGTTTGATTGTAAATCACGAGACAAATCTTTTAAGCCTAGTTAGTCCATGATCGGACAAAGTTTGTCAAATACAAACGAAACGTGCTACAGTATCCGATTGCAAAAATTTGTAATCTAAGCAAGGCCCTGCACGACGCCCAATTTGAAACGCTGCCGATGGCCACCTCAGTTTTGTGCAGATTGAATAGTTCTTCGGTCTCTGAACTGAAGATTGGCATAGCATAGCCGATAGGCTGATAGCTTTACATTTGTACCCGGCGCACTTCATGCATTTGCGTACCTTCAACTGCAGCATTTCTGCACTTGCTGATAGCTTTACATGATAGAGCTGGGAAACCTTCAGCTGCAGCATTGCAAATGCTTCAGAGTTTAAGAGGGTTTTGATTTTTGATTCCCATAGTGGCAGTAAAAAGGCTCACTGCAATGATTGTGTGCCAGCAGCAGCTACCTGCTGGAGTTGCTCTTAGGGCACAAAAAGACCTTTTCAACTTTTGCTTCAGCTTTGACTCATCACTCATGTCCCGTTGTTCTGTTACATTAGGACAGCAGAAGATTCAGAACACACCAGCTCAGCTCCAGTCCTCGCACACTGTCCACTCTTCCGCTCTACTACCCTGCTCCGTCTCCATGCATGGGATGGGCAGTCAAAGAAGGCTTCTCCTCCTCCTGGCTCTCCTCCTGCTGACGCTGGTCGCCGGAGAAGGCGACGGCGCACTGTCCGCCGCCGGCACGGACGGAGCCAATGCCACCGACGCGAGGTCGCCGGCCGGCGCGCCACTCGACGTGCGGGCAAGAAAGTGGTGGCGGTTCCCGGCGACGGAGGGCCTCGTGGGCAGCGAGCGGCGGGTGCCCAACTCGTCGGACCCCCTCCACAACCGCTGATGCGGCGGTGACGCGTCAGCCGCCGCCTGCCATCCGTGCTGCTTGAACTTCTGCTGGTAGTTACCGTACCTCTGATCCCATGCTTTCTGGCTGCAGAATGTGGCTTAGTGTTCAGACATCAGAGAATTGAATTGCCTATACGAGTAAATGTAGCTGATTTTGGTTTAGCTGGTTTGCCATTTCGAGCGCTTGTAATCACAAATTCATCGGCAGTTTCCACCGTGTGTATATATAAATTCCCTGAAATCATCTGCCTTTGGCTGAATTATCTGGAGTTAGCGCAGTTCACAAGAGTTCAAGATTATGTGACGATATCTTGTATGTACGTGGATCCCTGTTCTTCAGTTCTTCCTGTAATCTGAAGACTGGAGTTCAGAAGACTTCAGCTCCCACAGCAGCAGTGCAGGAATGAGTTTTTTCTTCTTCTTCTTTTCCTGTTCGTTTTCTGCCAAAAATTTCATACGGCTCGTCGTATATAAGGCACAAAAAAGGGGTGGGAAAAGGCAAATGGGGCCATGGACCCACCTGTCAGTCTCCCTACGAATCAAACCCCGTTCCCCTCCACCGTCCTCTGCGTCAAAACGTCGAAAAGCTAGCGCGCGCAATGTCCGCCGCTACCAGCTTCTCCCTCGCCGTCGCCGACGCCGTCTGGGCTGAGATCAAATCCGCTGGCCAGGCATCCGACGAGCACCTATCCATGTAAGTAATGGCAAGCCGCTCGTCCACGCGGTGCTGTATCCGCTCTCCCCGGGCATGCTATTTCTCGAGCCCTTGACATGCTCTCGCTCTCCGCAGCCTCGAGACGCTGTTCGGAAAGAACATGCTGCGGGCCTGCAAGATCGTCGACGAGCGCGGCGTCAGGCGCGTCACCGGCGCGCCCAGCGGCCGCTCGCTCTTTCTAGTAGGCGCCTCCCCTCCTCGTCTTCTGATACCACCGGACGTCTCGTGTTCCAGCCAAACTAGCGAACAAGCTGTCTTATTGTTGCCTGTGTCTGTGCTGCAGGTGATGGGGGAGTCGAAGAGGAAGGAGGAGTACCTATGCTTCCCGGAGCACCTCTGCACCTGCTACTCATTCTTCTACGACGTCGTCGGGCGCGGCGAGCAGCTCAGCGTAAGTACCCTTACTGCAGCTACTGCATCATGAACAAGAAAATTCTATCTGTGCAAACCTTGGGAAAGATTAGATGGAGTAGCATTTGTCAGCTTTTAGCTCGTGGCTGCTGAAACAGTAGTTGAATTTTGGGCTATTATTTTGGTGTTTGCAGTGTAAACACCAGTTAGCTGCGCGGCTTGCAGAGGCTGTGGGAGAACACCAGGAGATTGAAGTGAAAGATGAGGAGCTCGCAGATATGCTTGCAAAGCTCTGAGAACAAGAAGCTTTGATTACTTCAGTAATGCACATAACATTTATGAATTCCTTTGAACTAATTGATGAATTGAGATGAATGTTCGTTCACTATTGAGTTAGTTTCACATGCTTCTTTAATTTACTATCTTCTTCTGACAATATACTGTTCTTTCTCTAGTCTCTATGATGCCTTGCTGTAGCAATGCTTTAGTGACAGGTGGAAGAAGATATGATGTCACATGATGAAGTTTGATTGAAAAATCCAAGATTTTGTTGGCCCCTGGATCTCCCGCACGAGTGAGCCGATCGCTCACTGGCGTTGCCGACCACACACTATGGCTAGAGGTATAAGAAGAGAGGCAGAAGAGAGCGCACACACAGTACAAGCACCAGCGTTGGCCAGAGCTCTGCAGAAGAGATGGCAAAACTGAACTCGCTCTCTTTACTGAATTGCAGTGGTAAGCTATAAATACAACTCTAACCATCTACTCATAGTACATAAACATACCAGGCTACCATGCTGCTACAGTGACTAGATATGACAGCAAGGCTAACTTTGACGCCGGCCTCTACTGTGGCTACAGTGCGGTCTCTACTGTGGCTACAGTACGGCAGGGGAGCCTTTCAGCGCCTGCCCCTGCTGCGGCTACAGTGCAGCAGCAGGAAGCCCTTTCGACGCCTGCCCTTGCCGCGCGTTCAGACAAGGGAGAGCAACAGATTACTTTATAATTCTTTCCTTAATCCTGCTGCTAACTTTAGAACCTCCACCATGCCGATCATCTTCTTCAGCTCCGTGAACCGAAGACGACCGAGCGGCTTGGTGAGGACGTCCGCGAGTTGCCGACCAGTTTCGATGAACTCGATGACGATCTGCCCTCCATCGACACAGTCCCTGAGGAAGTGGAACTTGATGTCGATGTGCTTGCTCCGGTCGTGGAGAACCAGATTCTTCGCTAGGGCGATGGCGGGCTGGTTGTCCACCATCAGTGCTAGTGGGTGAGCTTCCACACTGGTCAGCTCACCCAGCAGCCGGCGCAGCCACACAGCTTGGCACGCCGCTATGGCCGCCGTCACGTACTCTGCCTCGCACGTGGATAGCGCCACCATCTTCTGTTTCAGCGACAGCCATGAGATTGGAGCCGACCCGAGAAAGACGAGCACGCCAGAAGTGCTCCGCCGTCCGACGATGTCCCTCGCCATGTCTGCATCGCTGAACAAAGTGAGCTGTAGCCCACTTCCGCTGGTTTTGGCGAAGGCGATCCCCTGATCCACCGTCCTCTTGACGTAGCGCAGCAGTCGCTTCACCGTGGCCCAGTGATCCTCCCGGGGGTCCTCCATGAAGCGGCTGACGTAGCCCACGGCGAATGCAATGTCCGGCCTCGTGTGGACTAGATAGCTGAAAGGTCCTAATGGCTAGAGGGAGAATGAATAGCCTATTAAAAATTTCTACAACAACACTTAACAAACCGGTTATACAAATATGAGGCGAAGCGAGTGTTGCGCTAGCCTACTAAAAAGTAAACCACCTACCACAATTCTAGTTTTTATAGTCTCTGTCCACACAATGGCTATGGTACTATACTAAGTTAGTATGCTCTCAAAGGCTAACTAAAGAGTCACACTAACCAAACTAACAAGCTCTCACGACTAGCTACACTAAAGAGCTTGACAACTAATTTGCGGTAATATAAAGAGAGAGAGCAAGATGGTTATACCGCTGAGTCGAGGAATGAACCAATTAATCATAAAAATGAATACCAATGAAGACCAATCACATCGGAATCAAATGATGACACAATAATTTTTATCGAGGTTCACTTGCTTGCCGCCAAGCTAGTTCTCGTTGTGGCGATTCACTCACTTGGAGGTTCACGTGCTAATTGGCATCACACGCTGAAAGATCATGACACAATAAAAAGTAAACCACCTACCACAATTCCGATACGAGTTTCATCCCTCTTAATAGTACGACTATCAATCCTAAATGTGATCACACTCACTAAGTGTCTTGATCACCAAAACAAAATAGCTCCTATAATTTATACCTTTGTCTTGAGACTTTTGTTTTTCTCTTTCTCCTTTTCAAGTCCAAGCACTTGATCATCACCATGGCATCACCATCATCATGTCATGATCTTTATTTGCTTCACCACTTGGAATGTGCTACCTATCTCATGATCACTTGATAAACTAGGTTAGCACTTAGGGTTTATCAATTCATCAAAACCAAACTAGAGCTTTCACACGCCAAACCCTCAATAGGGTGCCACACAACCAACACAAGATGAGGATTATACAAGCCACGAGCAATTTACTAGAGTACCTTTTGTCTCTCCGCCGGAGAAAGATCAAGAACCCCTCACAATCACCACGATTAGAGCCGGAGACAATCACCAACCTCCGCTCAACAATCCTCGCTGCTCCAAGCCGTCTAGGTGGCAACAACCACCAAGAGTAACAAGCGAATCCCACAGCGAAACACGAACACCAAGTGCTTCTAGATACAATTACTCAAGCAATGCACTTGAATTCTCTCCCAATCTTACAAAGATGATGAATCAATGATGAAGATGAGTGGGAGGGCTTTGGCTAAGCTCACAAGGTTGCTATGTCAATGCAAATGGTCAAGAGGGTGAGCTTGAGCTGGCCATGGGGCTTAAATAGAGAGCCCCCACGAAAAGAGCCGTTGGCTCCTCTGTCTAGTGAAACACGGGCCGACCGGATCGCGCTGGTTAGGTTGACCAGACGCAGGACCCCAGCGTTCGGTCGCCCGATGCTCGCCACGTGTCATCAGCCTCAAATGCTGAACACTCGATCTTAACGGCTAGTCAGCATCACGCCACGTGTTAAGTTACGACCGGACGCACTGCAGTGTAGGACCGGACGCACTGTCGCCTGGCATCTGGTCACTTCCAATAAGGTTCTAGAGACAGAAATTCACGACCGAACGCGTCCGGTGGCTCATGACCGGACCCAGGCCTGCGGCTGGTCAACTCAGCCTCTCTTTGTTGTTTGCGTTAAGCGTCACTAGGTGACCGGATGCACCCCATGCGCATCCAATCCCTCTTTCTCTTCAGCGTCCGATCAAGGGACCGAGGGCGGCCTTCACTGGCGCCACTAACCGGACGCGGGGTCAAAGTCTGGTCAATACAAAACTTCTCCTTTTGACCCCGAACTTCACCACCCTTGATCAAATGTGCCAATCACCAAGTGTATCACCTTGTGCACATGTGTTAGCATATTTTCACAAATGTTTTCAAGGGTGTTAGCATTCCACTAGATCCTAAATGCATATGCAATGAGTTAGAGCATCTAGTGGCACTTTGATAACCGCATTTCGATATGAGTTTTACCCCTCTTAATAGTACGACTATCGATCCTAAATGTGATCACACTCGCTAAGTGTCTCGATCACTTAAACCGAAAAGCTCCTATCAATTTCACCTTTACCTTGAGCTTTTTGTCTTTTTCTTTCTTCTTTTCCAAATCCAAGCACTTGATCATCACCATGGCATCACCATCATCATGTCACGATCTTCATTTGCTTCACCACTTGGAGTATTGCTACCTATCTCATAATCACTTTGATAAACTAGGTTAGCACTTAGGGTTTCATCAATTCACCCAAACCAAACTAGAGCTCTACCAAAGTGAAATCGCCACCGCGATCAGTCCACAGCACGCGTAGCTTCTTGTCGCTCTCCGCCTCCGTGCGTGCCTTGAACTTCTTGATCGCCTCCGCCGCCTCATCCTTGCTCGTCAGGAGTTGCAACCACATATAACGACTACAATCATCCATGAGTAGGAGGAAATACCAACGACCACCGTTTGTGGCTGGCGTGATTGGCCCGTTTGAAAGCTCTAGTTTGGTTTTGGTGAATTGATGAAACCCTAAGTGCTAACCTAGTTTATCAAGTGATCATGAGATAGATAGCACACTCCAAGTGGTGAAGCAAATGAAGATCATAGCATGATGATGATGATGGCATGGTGATGATCAAGTGCTTCGACTTGGAAAGAAGAAAGAGAAAACAAAAAAAGCTGAAGGCAAAGGTATATTTTGTAGAAGATATTTTATTTTGGTGATCAAGACACTTAGAGAGTGTGATCATATTTAGGTTTGATAGCCATACTATTAAGAGGGGTGAAACTCATATCGGAATGCGGTTATCAAAGTGCCACTAGATGCTCTAACTCATTGCATATGCATTTAGGATCTAGTGGAATGCTAACACCCTTAAAAATGTTTGTAAAAATATGTTAACACAAGTGCACAAGGTGATACACTTGGTGGTTAGCACATTTGAGCAAGGGTGAAGAAGATAGAAGTGAAAAGGAGTAAGTGTCGCTGGTTATACAGTGACCGGACGCTGGCCTCTAGGGGACCAGCGCGTCCGGTCATGTGTAGCAGTGAAGACGCTAGCGTCAGTCAAATGACCGGATGCTGGGTCGCTCAGCGACCGGACGTTGGAAGGCTGTGTCCGGTCGTGTTGACCAACAACACGTATGAAGTCAACATGTGATCGGACGCTGGCAGGGTCCGGTCAAGCATGACCGGACGTGTCCAGTTGGCAAAATACGTTTCTGGAACCTTACTAGAAACGACCGGACGCTGGAGGCTGAGCGTCCGGTCAGTTGTAGCGGAGCATCCGGTCAATAGATGATCGTTGAGATCAGACGACTCCTGTTGAACGCAATGTGACACGTGGCTGACATCGGACGACCGGATGCTGGGTCCAGATTCCGGTCAGTATGACCGGAGCGTCCGGTCACCCCGCATTTTACCCAGTGAAGGGCTACAATGACTCTATTTCATGGGGGCTTCTATTTAAGCCCCATGACCGGTTCAAGCTCACTCTCTTGGTTATTTGCATATTGACATAGCAACCTTGTGAGCTTAGCCAAAGCCCTCCCACTCATCTCCATCATTAATTCATCATCTTTGTGAGATTGGGAGAGAATCCAAGTGCATTGCTTGAGTGTTTGCATCTAGAGGCACTTGGTGTTCGTGTTTTGCTG